GATCCTCAGATCTGTCTCCTGAGTATGTAGGATTACAGGTGTGAGCCACCAGAACCTAGTCTAATTTTTTAAAATGTATTCTGAAATACATTAACTACAGTTGGGTTTTTAAAAATCTTGTCTTCCTAACCCTCATGGTAGTTACAAGATTGCTTCATGTACCGCCTCACAGTTGAAGAGCATCCTGCATCTCTCTATGTGCCACAATGGAGGGCAGTTGCTATGGATGGGTATATAGTAGCTTCCCTCAGTATATTCATTGATGGAAAACACCTTCCCTCTCCACTGAAAAATCGCTTTCTAGTTAACTCTGCGAAGAACCGGATGGAGATACAGATGTATTCAGTGGGAGGACTTCATAGGGCCTTTTTCTCTCTACTGAACTGATGCCACACTCCAGCCCACAGAGATCAATTTTCAGAATAAGAGCATCCCTGACTTTTGTGAGAGTAGAAGGTTGCCCTGTAGTTATGACATGTTCCCTCTTACATCACAGCACATTCCAGAAGCCTGCCCTGAGGACCACAGGGAAGTAAAATCCAAAGCCCCCATCGAGGACAAGGAACTGAGTTCATGAAACTTACTCTGGAACCCTTTCTCCTCACCCTGGTCCTGCTGGACCAAGCAGGATTGTGTGGATTCAGACCATTGTCATCAGCTAAGAACAACACTGAGAGTTGGGCTCTGTCAGTGAAGAGAGCCCACTTGTTAACATTTGTATGTAAAGATCTCTTCCCTTTCATGGTTTGCTGCTTTCTTCTCCGAAGAAGCTGAAAAGCTAGAGCCTCGTTTTTTACTTCCCCATCCCTCACACACATCCCTTTGTAAAAGAAGCAGGCATCAGAGTGCGAACCAAGGGAAATAAACCTCTGGAGCTAGATAGGGGAGGGGATCCAGCCTACCTTTAAATCACTCAGGACCACTGTAAACTTGGCCAGTACAAATCTCAGTGCCTGCACCAAAATCTTTCTCTGTAACTTCTCCTTTGAGGTCCCCATTTTACTGCAATCCAGATAGACATTCAGCCTCAGTGTACAGTTATGTGAGACCCAGAGAGTTTACAATGTCAAAGATAAGGTGCAGGTCTCAGGGACAGTCTTCAACACAACTCAGGTTGCTCCCATTCATCATCCTATCAGGAATGGCTTGCCTATGTCCCATCTGACTAGACTAGAGGCCACAGAAAGCCCCAGCATCCAAGGACTTGCAAATTCCCAGAATTTTTTGAATGGGAAGAGAGTACCAGATACTCTAGCCAGACTTGGTAGGCATGTTCCCATGTGATTTTCCCCCCAGCTCTAGCCCAGGGAATTGCAGCTGGCCAGAAGTGACTAGAATGTTGGGGAGTAGTTTTTGCTAGGATTGTATACAGTAAAGTGCCTCAAACTATGTGGCTCACACAATAGAATTTAATTCTCTCATGTTTCCAGAAGCTAGAACTCTGAAGGTAGCAGGGAGGGAGAAGCTGTGCAATTCCTCTCTCCTAGCTTCTGCCAATTTTCCTGACAATCATTGGGATTTCTTAGGCTGACTTCAGCCTTTGTCACTGTGTGTGTGTGTGTGTGTGTCGAGGTGCATGCCCACCTCCACTTTTCCCCTTCTATGAAGGCAGCAGTCATATTGGGTTAGAGGCCTATCCTATTACAGTAAGACCCCATCTTAACTAATTACAATCACTGTTTCCAAGTGAGATCACATTCTGAGCTATGGAGAGTTAGGACTTCCAATATATGTATTTCAGAGGACACAGTCCACTATATCTAAGAGAGTGTACAGTGCAGAAGGGAGGGAAGGAAATGTTTTCTCCCCTATATCCTGTTTCTCTTTAGGATTTTTTTTTCTGGTCCCGGGGCTTAAACTCAGGGCTTGGGCACTGTCCCTAAGACTCTTTGTATTCAAGGCTAACGCTCTGCCACTTGAGCTACATACAGTGCCACTTCTGGCTTTTTCAGAGTAGTATATAGAGGTTAAGAGTCTCATGGACTTTCTTGCCTGGGCTGGCTTTGAATCGCGATCCTCAGATCTCAGTCTCCTGAGTAGCTAGGATTAGAGGTGTAAGCCATAGATGCCTGGCTCTTCAGGATTTTTCAATGAAAAAAAAAAGGTCATTTCCTTAGAACATCATTCTTTATGGATTTTAGGGCTTGGGATGAACCTCTTTCATTCTGCTTTCTGCCTAATGCATCACTTTTCTGATGTGTAAAATGAACAATTGCTTAGTTATCTGAATTCAAGCAAGAGCCAAGGACAAGATAACCAATAAACCAGTCAATATGTCCAAACTGCCATCCTTCCCAATAGGCAGTCTGTTTCCTGGAATACTGAAGAGGAAAGCTAAAGCCAGAGTTAGCTGTGGAGATCTAAGAGCTCAGGATTCTAGCTGTGACCTCTTGGGATACAAAAGTTGCGAGCAGTCATTCTCTTAGCAGGCATAAGGCAGGGAAGCAGCTCTTTAAAAATGACCTTTATTTTAAAAATTGACATAATCTTTGGGTAAGTCACAATTAGCTTAGGCATGTTTCAGAAGGTGCTAATGTCTCACCTCCAAACCAAGAGCAATAGCTTATTTGATTGGTACAAGGATTGAGGAGGATCTTATGATGCAGAATGAATAGATGATTACTGAAGACAGAATCTTATACAAAAGCTTTCTTGCAGCATACGTTGTTTTTTAAATTATCTGTTACAAATATTAAAAAACACCTCATCAGACCAATAATAATACCCATATCTTACTTGCATGTTACTAAAGTTTCTACCCAGAACACCAAGTTCTGTAGACTTCAGAATCATACTTAAATTAATTTAATCCTTCACATTAAGCATAACAACTAAAAAACTAGATTCTACCCAGTGTAGTCTCAGCATCCAGGATGTGTCCTGCTGACAGAATGCCATCTACTTGGGCATGCTGTGAATCAAATCAAAACATGAAGCAAGCCAGGCTAAAGACTCCTTCCATACAGCAGTTGGCAGCTTCTGTTCCTCTCGCCTCCAAAGCAGAATCAGACCTGAGCTGCAGACTGTGAGGAAGGGCACAGGTTCCATATCATCTACCTGATGGTTTTCTGGGTGTGTTACAAGAAGGACAATTGTCTCCCAATGGAAGAGTTCATTTCCTGAGGACATTCCCCTCCCAACACCCCTCCCCACCTCCTTCTTCACAGTAAGGCCCAGTCCCAGTGTGGTCATAGATCCTTCCAGAATAAAAGGAGGGAAATTAGAGTACACTGAGCACCTACTATGTGCCAGGTCAGGTATTTTTCCTGTATTCCTCACAATACCCCGTGAGGTAGGATTATTACTCTTATTTTACAGATATGTGGAAACCGAGGCTCAGAGGAGAGAATCTGCCCCAAGTGGCACAGTGAAGAAGTAATGAATATCAAGTAGAAAACCCAGGGCTTCTCAGTCTAGGGCTCTTTTTACTACCCACATAAAGCCAAGGAATTGGCGATAAAGATATCCCAGCTCCAAGATGGTTGGTCTAGAACCCAAATATTGGAGTCCTTTGAGTGTGTGGAGCCAACCTTGGGAAGTCCAGAAGCCTGGACCTAGGAATCCTGGCTCTACAGCATTATTTTGGGACGTCAAACATGTCCTTACACCATGCCACTCCTGGGACTAGATGGGCCAATGTAGCTCCCCATCAAGGAGGAGGGGCTTGGCAAAGCCACCTTGGGAGTTCACTGGTGAACCACAGTGTGCAGCCTCCACCCAGACTCTGGTTTTGTCCTCTCATAGGGAACAGATGAAGAATATAACATTCTGACATTGCACACCTTGTGAACATTGGTTATGATTAAGGATCTCACCTCTGAGGGAACTCTAAATCCTAGGAAACCATGCTACCACGTCTTGAAAGGTTTTTCACAGAAAGCTTGTGATATGAGATAAAAAAAATTGGAGTCAGGACACTTTAAAAGCAGGCAATGATTGAAAATAATTTGAGAAAGCCAGGAGCCAGTGGCTCATGCCTGTAATCCTAACTACTCAGAAGGCTGAGATCTGATTATTACAGTTGGAAGCTGGCCTCTAAGATAAGAATCTCTGAAACTCTTTTCTCCAATTAACCTCCAAATATCCAGAAGTGGAGCATTGATTCAAGTGGTAGAGCCCAGCATTGAGCATAAAAACTAAGGGACAGAACCCAGACCCTGAGTTCAAGCCCCATTATTGGCACAAAAGAAAGGGGGGAAAGAAAAGGGGAGGGGAGGAGTGGTAAGGAAAAGAGGGAAGGAAGGGAGGGAGGGAGGAAGGAAGGAAGGAAGGAAGGGAAATAATTTGAGAGAGGAAAGGCTACTCTAAAGGGAAAGAAAAGGCAACAGTCAGAAGAAATGAGGGTAGATTGCTGAAAAGGAAGAGATGGAGAATAATATGCAAACCCAGGTGCTAGAGGTCAATCCCAATTGAGGCTGCAAAAATTAGACTTTTGGGAAATCTGGTTTCATTGAGTCTGCTATAGGGTTATACATGGGCAAGGGACTTCCCCAAAAAATATTTTGAGCCTTATGTTCAGGCAGACTTTAAAGAATAAAAAATTGGTGATAAAGGAAGAAAGAAAAGTCAAATGGCTCCCTGAAATCCACTTGCTATCTGTCACCTGGTTCTCCTTCCCCAAGGCCCTAGCACTATAGAACCTCCTATAACCCATAAATCCCAATAGAATAGTTCCCTCCTTGGTATATAGAGAGCAGGCCTATCTCTCTGTAAGCCCAGCACACACTAGCTGACTGTTATACATGTGTCTTTCCCACTAACCTGTGAACAACTTGAGAGGGACTGCACCTTTCTTCTCCACGTGGAGAGGAAAGCAGGCTAACCAAGATCCTTTGTTTAGCTGGGTAGTTAGGACTCACATCTGTAACCCTAGCTACTCAGGAGGCTGAGATCTGAGGATCTCAGTTTGAAGCGTACCTGGGCAGGAAAGTCCATTAAACTCTTAGCTTCAATTAAACCATCAAAAAGCCAAAAGTGGAAGCATGGCTCACAGCCTTTTGTAAAAAAAGGTAAGAGACAGTGCTCTGGCCCCAGGTTCAAGCCCCAGCACTGAAACACACACACACACACAAAAAGGTCTTTTGTTGATAAGCACCCTGGCTAATAACTAGCCCAATCAGCCAGGGAGATAATGGGACCATATCCTTGGGGAAATTTTTCTTGAGGAACAATTTCAATCTTGGGGGATAATGTTTCTCCAGTGGACTTGAGGGTGCTTCTAATGTGTTTTATAGTAATTATTCACACACCCCCACTCCACATCTACCCATACCTCCACCCAGAATTACCTCATACCTGGCCTAGTTGTGATTTGAGAGAATTTCTTTAAAATGTGAAACCAACACCTAGATAGAGATTTCAAGCAATAGTGTGCTGGTTTGTGAGAATGAAATCATTCAGGTAGAAGAAACAAAGCAGCTCAGTTTTGGCAGACCTGGTGGGATATGTGCATCTACCTATGCAGAATGAGGGAAGGATGCTGTCTAGAAAGAGTGTCGTGTGTGTGTGTGTGTGTGTGTGTGTGTGTGTGTCCATGTGTGCAGCAGGAAGCTGAGCTTACACTCTCTTTGTGGCTAGCAACATGGAAACTTAGGCCTAGTTCCTTGCTTTTAGGCTTCCAGAAACCCCAGAGCTCCTGTTGTCAAAAGCCCCTAGAACAATCCTTTGCAAGGAACAGCCAAGGATGGTTCAAGAAAATGGTCTGTCCAGACCAGCCATGAACTGCTGGTAGAGAATAAGCATGCTTGGCTGGAGGCCCACGCTCAGCAGCGAATGTTCCGAAAACCAGACAATGTGGCTTTTCCAAATAGGTAAATGTCTTCATCTGTGCCTTCATTGAGGTGCTTTACCATGTTCTTCTCAAAGAGGAGTGGGTGGTAAGCACCCATCGTGCAGGCGCTATCAAAGTACTTTTGGTAGTAGTAGCATACATCAGTCTTGCGCTTGGATGGGAGGAACTCATAAATGTCCACCTGGTCACAGAGCGTCAACATGACAATGATACCTGCAGAGAAGGAGGAGCGGTGAGTCAAGGCCAGCATCTTACACACCAGAGCTGCCGAGATCTGTCCAGTGGAGAGATGTCACCTGGAACTTCTCTTTGTTCCTGTGAATCCCAAGCTGAATTGTGCTAGTGAGCCAGGGACAACACACTGTATCCTGGAGTGCAGTGCTAAATGCATCTTATGCAACTTCCTATTGCCAGGACAAAGGCATGACAGGTTCACCCTCCTCAAACTAGCAGATTATAGGACTCCCTCAATCAATACATTGGTCAACGGAATAAGCCATAGGACACCAGGGCTAAGTGAGGAGATAATGCCAGCATGTGCAGTTAGCATTTCCCAGCATTTTTACCTCCTATAGCCTTGGGGATGTTGTCATCTGGGAGAAGTATTTCATACAGTACCAGCAGGAAATGGTGCAAAAAAGACTTCTTCCTTTAGCTAGAAAGGAGGCCTAGATGGACCATTCATCCAGCAAGGAGATGTAGGTTGAGAGGCTGTGGCCCAGGCTGGTGCTCTCTGGAGAGGCCACGCAGAACACTGAGGTGCAAGCCCAACCAGGAGGCAAGGAGGGGAGGGAGAATCCCACTACCACCCACCTTTGTCCCCAACTGGCTAAGTTGTGTTGGGTAGGAAATGTCCCTTCTTTTTGGCCTGCTCAAAGGAGTAGGGATTATCCAATTCTCCCATTGTATAGGTCATTGTTAGCATGAAATAGGATCACAGTCCGAAGATACCTTTAATTAACTAGTCACTCAGGGACTCTTTAGGAAGGATAAATTCTCAACTGAGAACAAAACAGTTAGCTGTCAGCAACTTTGTTCCAGAAGAATCAGATATGAGAAAAGCCCTACCTCTGCCCTTTAGCTCAGTGGAGAAGAGAAGACAGTTTAGTTGCTAACCTAGGAATCACAGGAAGGAGGAATAGCTGGGTGTAGAGGGATAATGGCCAGAGGGAGGGCAGAGAGCAGAGCAGAGCAATGATGGTGGAGGCCACAGCAGAGACAATGGCAGGGCAGTGTTCCTCAAGATGATTACTCCTGGTTGAAAGGCTTCAGGAAGAGTCCTAAATGCACTCAATCCAAAAGCTGAAGCAGAAGATGTAAAGATGTATCACTGCAAAGGTCCCAATCCCTTACTATGGGAGTGTCTCTGACAGTAAGCTGATTTACTTGGAGAACAATTGCCATGCCAAACCCACAAAGGTAAGTCAAACAGATGCCTCCCTGAGGGAGTATGAAGTCTAGAAGGGAAAGTAAGCAGACAGATGCCATCCAGTGGGAAGGCAGTACTCTGGGGCACTGGGGAGGAGCTTCCATCTCTGCACACAGAGAGCCTGCATCCCCTGGAAAAGGCCCAGCAGTCCAGCCCAAGAATGACAGGGAAGGGTAGATGGTCCATGAGAACTTAGGGGTATAAACAAAGCTTAAGAAGAAAGCCTCTTCCTAGCATTCAGGACTTTCTATCCCCAGCCCACCCTGTGCCTGCTCCCAGAGGCTCTTCTAAGTCTCCACACCCAGGTGCCCATTCACGATGCTCTTAGGGTTGTGACTAGGGCATTCACTAGCGAGAACATATAGACAGTCCGGAAGTGGCATTACTGACTTTTTTGCTTCAACTTTTAGCATGACTCTGCGCTATCACTGAATCTGTGTTGATTTAAATATATCACAATTTGGGTGGGGGTGTAGATTTTTTTTTAAGGATATTGCATTAAAATAGTATCTAGCTTGATTCATGAGTTCTAAGATACTTCCTGAATTACAACTTAAGACAAGAGCCTGTCCTCTTCATCCAAAGTTCAGCCCTGCTACATCTTTTTCTCCACTCCTCCTCTTGGTTATATCCTTTCCCTTTACCCCATCTCCATATGTCAAATCGTCCTGTTTCTGAGGAGTAGCTCATACTATGTCCTCCCTAACTGTCTGGCGAGAAAGGGCTCTCTCTCCTGTGACACCAGGGTAGGCTCTCCTTCTTGGCTCAAGCTGAATATTGCCCCAGATACCTGGCTACTTTCTCCTAGTAGACACAATGAAGGAGAATTCTATCTTCGCGATTTTGGACAGAATTTGGCACAATGTAGAAGCAGAGCAAGATCTTGTCAATTCTGGTCAACAAAGAGGCTGAATAAATGAGATCCCTGGAAATAACTACACAAGGACTTCCCCAGATAAGGACTTACCAAGCATGCCGGAGGATGGGGGGTTTGGCTGAATCTCTTCAGGGGAGATTTCCTGAAGGATGTCCCACAGCTCCCAAGGCATCTGGGGCTTGAGGATGTAGAAGGGCTGGCTGGGGTGCAGCTTGCGGTAGCTCTTATAGTTGTTAAAGAAATTGTAGTCAGGATTCTGGTACCACTGAAAAAGAAGGAATTTTGTCGACTCAAGAAGAGAAAAGTGTCTGTGTCCATGTGGCCTATAAAGTAGGCATTCTCATCCAAAAACTCAGAGGGGCAGGAACCAGGGCAGAACCATGAGACATAGCCCCTCCTCTGGAATACATTCCAGGCTTCTGCACATCATAGTTCTCGGTGGGTAGCATAGTAGGGCCCGGCACAGTCTGTACTTAGAGGAATGTTAGGATTGGGGACCCTGGAATAGTTTCAGACAGGACAATGGAGTCTGGTCATAGTAGCTCAGCTGAAAGGGGTTTTATGTGCCATCTAACCCCATCTTCTTTATAAGACCAGGTTTTATTATGTTATACAGACTGGATTCCAGCTCCTAGGCATAGGTGATCCTCCTGCTTTGTCTCCCAAGTAGCTGGTACTATGGATATATACACTATCTAGTTACGCTTAATTTTGAAGAGAAGAAAACTGGAGCACAGGATGTTATGCCTATGTGTTCAGAGTCCCTCTCATGACTTATGGACATCTGAGTTCTACGTGAGATCTGTGCATCCTTGTACCCACAGAGGTAGTGCTAAGGATCCCTAGAGCCTATCAGCTACTGGTGGAGCTAACTTAAAAATTTAGCATCCCAAGAATAGTGCTGTCTGCCTTTCCTCATGAATGCCATTCTCCTGAGGCCACTGGACGGCTGTTCCAGGGCCAGAGAACCCAGCAGTTCTGAAGCTCATGTTTCCTTCCTGGGAACAGCTGATGTTCCTCAGTGTAGGAAATTAAGTCCTGGACAGGCCGTCACTTTCCCTGTCCACATTCTGGTTTCTCCACTTGTAAAATGGGAACAACCATCTACTTCCTCCTGGTGTTGTAAGAGTGAAATGAGAAGAATTCAAGAAGTTGGATGTATGGCAGAGAAATGTAGAAATATTATTGACAGGGGAGCAGTAGCTACTGTCCATTCCTGCTGAAGCTCATCAGGAATAACTGCTTTAATGAATACATTCTACTCTAGATGTGAGAAATCCAGCCACCATTACTCCCAATACATAATGAAACTGGGACGTATCCTCAACTGTACAGGACAGAGGCTCGATAGGAGTGTTTGTAAGTCTGCTACCCAACACAAAGTGGGATGCCCTCAGGAACGGCTCAGATCATCCATGACTTTAAAACCCCCTAAACATTTTGAAACTCCATAGGCAAAGAAAGACTCAACCCTTATTTTCCACTTACCTTTGGGATATCTGAGTGGTACACAGATGGGTCCCACACAATTAAGATTCCTTCATTGTACAAACCATCCTTGAGGAAGCGCCTATCTGTGGTGACCAACTGCAAGAAGGAAGAGACAGGCTGTCATTTGGATATCTATATGGAAACATTTGGTTCTCAGTAATCAATGGCCCATCACCACTGAACTTCAGTGAAAAGTAAAAGGACAGTCTGAACTGTGTTGACCTCAAAGAATATTTAAAACATGCTATCAGCCATAGAGCAGATTTTAAGACTACAACACACAGGGTCCTCATCTCTTTGGGTGGCCATCCTGGAATACTGTGTCTGAGGTAGAGCACCAGAGAGGTGGTCAACTTGTGTGGAGGGACCACAAGCATGCAAAATTACTTTAAACACAAGAATCTCACTAGGCTGAGAAAATGCTTGAGTGTAATCTGCTGGGGAGCTAGCCACAACTGTCTTCCCATACATCCCCATGTACCTGGGCTGAGCTACACACAGGTAGTTCAACACACCTGGTTAACTGTGACTGTGACCATTCTGAGGGAACTTTTTTTTTTGTCAGTCATGGGGCTTGAACTCAGGGCCTGGGAGCTGTCCCTAAGCTTTTTTAGCTCAAGGCTAGTACTCTAACACTTTGAACCACAGCACTACTTCTGGTTTTCTGGTGGTGAATTGAAGATAAGAGTCTCACAGACGTTTTTTACAGGGCTGACTTCAAACTGCTGTCCTCAGATCTCATCCTCCTGAGTAGCTAGTGTTATAGGCATGAGCCACTGGTGCCTGGCTATGATGGGACATTTTTACAAAATATATTAGGAACTTTAAAACAGAAAGCATATACAGACTCAATAATTCTACTTTGGCTGGGCTGGGAAGGTGGCTCAGTGGTAGAGTGCTTGCCTTGCATGCATGAGGCCCTGATTCGATTCCTCAGCACCACATAGCAAAAAAGAAAAAAGCCGGAAGTGCCGCTGTGGCTCAAGAGATAGAGCGCTAGCCTTGAGCTGAAGAGCTGAGGGACAGTGCCTAGGCCCAGAGTTCAAGCCCCATGACCAACCAAAATAAATAAATAAATAAATAGATAATTCTACTTTGGGGATTCGATCCTAACAAAGAATCCAAATCTGGGGTAAAATATACATGGTAATGTTAAGTAAATTATTTAACCAAATAGGAAAAGTATGATAGCAGAAGAGGAAAGCTATATAATATAAAAAGATTCAGGTTTAGCTCTTATCTTTGCCACAATCTTATTTGGGTGACTATAGAGTAATCTCCTTAGGCCTTTGTTTTACATAGTATATGTGGAATGGAGACAGTGGTTCTAAACTCTCAGATGAGAGCTATCTTTAGAATCAAATAAGGAAAATATATGAATGAAAAACAAAAGTTGCTCCAAGGGCTGAGAAATGAAGGAATCCATGTCCCTCTTCGAAAGCTAAAACAGCAATATGATGTCAATTGGAGCTCATCATTAAGAGCACATGGGACATGACTCAGGCGAAATACAAGAGGAGCACTTGGCAGAAACCAAATCAAGACCCCAGTGAGCCAGGCACTCCTAGGTTCCCACCTGTAATCCTAGCAACTCAGAGATTAAGATCTGGTGGATCAAAGTTTAGAGCCAGCCTAGGCAGAAAAGTCCACAGGACTCCATCTCCAATTGTCCAGTAAAAAGCTGGTCTGGAGGTGTGGCTTAAGTGGTAGCACCTCAACCATGAGCCAAGTGTGAGTTCCTTGAGTTCAAACCCAAGTACTTGAGGAAAAAAAGACTTGACAGAACAAGTAAGTAATCTTCCTTAGCAATCATGCCTCTCCTACTTCAATCACCACTGTGACGGCTGAGTCCTAAGCAACATCTAATTTTGACCAATACTATGAAAGCAAGTAATGACTTCTAGGGGCATATTAGAAGGAGCAGGTCACCCCGAGTCCTCCTGTATACGTAAGAATTGCTTATGACCTGAGGTACTTGCACTGTATGAAAACAGAATCCAAGAAATTGGGAAGAGGGAAAGAAAAAAGGTAAATTTCGTTGGAAGGGAGAAAAAGGAAGTGGCCAGGACTGAGGTCTGGTAGAGAGAACGGAAAAAATGCTAGCAAGCCACATCCTTCCCCCTTTCCCCTGCCACTCACAGAACTCTAATTCCCTTTATTTAACAATTGCGCTTGAACCTGTGGAGAGCTGAGAGCAGGAGTTCCACACACACACACCCCCGTTCCTAGTCTGTAATTCTACGGTCTTAGGTACATCATGGTCTCCAGGCCTCCATACTTGTTCCCAAACATTATACCCTGTAAGACTCTGCCCCAGGTATATCTTTCCTGGAAGCTCTTCTCTAGTGCTCCCCTACCTCCCTGCCCTGGGAGTGGGACCTAGGCTTGGGAAACTCTAGGTGACCAAAGAGAGGAGCTGTTCTGAGCTAATGCTCAGAACTCTACAGGACTCTACTCAGAACATCTACCAAGACAAGGGGACACCAGAGAGATAGAGAACTGCTGTTTAAAGTCCCCTTTCTAGGAGAGAGAACACAGCTATAATAGCCAATGTATATATGTGAACATGGAAAGGAAAATGGAGGGGATAGGTGAGATTGGGAGAGATGGGGAAGAATGCTGAAAAGGATGACCTTGATCAAGATCCACGGTACTCATTAACTCACATGTTGAATTGAAACCCCTTTGAAGGTAATTTAGAAAAAAATTATGAAGGCACAAATGTTTAATGCAGAAAGTTTGAAAACTTCAGAATAGAATCTATACACACACACACATATACAAAGGAGAACATACCCATCTGTAACTGCACACAATTGCATTCCTCAGCTATTGCTTCTGTGAATATTTGGGAGTATTTTTTCTTCACAGATCTTTTTCTTTCTCTGTTATAGACTGAACTGTGACCTCCTCCATATAAATGTTGGCTCACTAATACCCAAAGTGACTATAGTTGGAGTATTTGGAGGCAGAGCCTTTAGCAGAGTAACTAAGGTCAAATGAGGTCATAAGGGTGTAGCCCTAATCCAGCAAGGGTGGTGTCCTTAAAGAACAAGAAAGAGACCAGAATCGCTCAGTGTGGGAACACTTGGAAAGTCACTGGAGGACACAACAGGAGGACACAAACATAGGAGGACACAGGAGATCCCAACAAGGCAAAAAGTGAGCCTTCTCCAGAAGCCCAAGCCCATGGCACCTTGGATTGTGGCATCTACAACTAGTTGAAAACAAAATTTCTGTTGATTAAGGCATCTAGTATGTGGTATTTTATTATGGCAGCTCAACATAACTAATGTCGCAAGTATGTATTGTGGAGATGTAGTATAGGTATATCTTTCATGCATAGGAGTGTACATATAGAGGTATAGACACACATATGATGTGTGTATATGTGAATACCTGTGTAAATGTACACATATGCATACATTTCCATGGACGTACTTCCTAGCTATATCTGCTCAAAGATACCCTGATACAGATGAGCACACCTAGGAATCAAGAGTTTATTTTGGTACCATGTTTTACTAAAAAGAACCAGGAATCTTCAGAGAAGATGACTGATCCCAGGATGAAGCCAAGATAACCTAAGGAAATAAAATTTTTCTAAATTTCTCAGTGCTCCTATAAAAAGCCCAAGCATCTTGTTTGTTCATATACCTTGAGGAGGATTAAATCTCTAGCTATTTTGCTGAATTAATTGCTCTGCTTTGATCAGAAGATAATACAATTTTTCTTAGGTTCCCAGTTGGGTAAATGCAATGCTCATGCCCAGAGAACTTCTCTAGTGAAGGCTCTCCAGGGGCCAGGAAGATGGAAGTGGTCAAATTCCCAGGTCTTTGCATTTCAGGATGGAATGAGGCCTAAGAATTATACATCTCTATAAGTAAGTTTATTGACATGTCAATGAGTGGAATGAGCAGCCTCAAGATGTGGCAAGTTCCTGCCTTTTATTTAAAAAGCAATGAGAGAAAATTAATTTTTTAAATAGTCTACTGACTATTAAAACAAACAGACAGACACAAAAACATAAAGCTGAGTACTAGTGAGTCATGCCTATAATCTTAGCTACTGGAAAGGCTGAGATCTGTATATTGAAGTTCAAAGCCAGCCCAGGCAAGAAAATCTATGAGACTCTTCAATTAACTCCAAACAAAAAAAGTTGCAAGGAGAGCTGTGGCTCAAGTGGTAGAGCACTAAACTTGAGAAAAATAGCTCATGAGTTCAAGCCCAGGACCAGCACAAAAACAAATAACAACAACAAACAGGCTTTCATTATATTGTCTTGAGGGTAAGGACTTAGGCAAAAGAGCGACTACTCATTCATTTCTTTATTTCAAGATAGGGTCTTATGATATTATTCAAGCTGGCCTCAAACTTCTGTGCTCAAGTGACCTCCTATCTCAGCCTCCTGGGCAATTATGACTATAGGTACATGCCACCATACTTGGCTCTCATTTAATAATTACTGTAAGGTATTTAAGAAATTTAGCTCGGATCCAGGACACCCTGTTTGCACAATTCAAGATAAAAATAATAATCAGGAAATATTTAAATGTCAAAAGATAACTTCAAAATGAGTTGGAATATCTTATCACAACAAAAAGTAAAGCAGTGTGGAAGGAAGGAAGGAAGGAAGGAAGGAAGGAAGGAAGGAAGGAAGGAAGGAAGGAAAGAAAGAAAGAAAGAAATCTGGTAAGTACATGAATGTCACAAGGGAACAAGAGCCAGTTTGGAAGAAATTCCACTAGTTAAATCTGGAAAAATTTCAATACCAAAGTAATTCAGAACATTAAGCAATTGTAAACTACTAAGAAAATAGGAATCATGAATAGGTATCCAATGAAACAATAGAAGAGAAGAGAAGAGAAGGAGGAAGAGGAAGAAGAAAAAGAAGAGGAGAGGAAAGCAGAGGAGAGGAGAGGAGAAAGAGAAGAGAAGAGAAAGAAGAAGAGAAGAGAAGGAGGAAGAGGAAGAAGAAAAAGAAGAGGAGAGGAAAGCAGAGGAGAGGAGAGGAGA